GGAATTTCGAGTTTGCAAGCTTTGAGAAATATGTATCGTAGATCTCTCGTGTAACAGGAAGAAAATGATAATAGAAATTGGAGATTTAAACTTGATGGCTGTTTTTGGTCAATTTTAGTGTAAATGGTAACTTAGGGAAAAAGGTATCGGTGACTGTTCTCGTTGTTATTAAATGAAACTTGCTAAATTTCTGTGAGGGGAAGATTTTGACAGTATGAATCCTGAAGATATTCAAGAATCACCGATAGAAGAAGAGGCTGATAAAGTACATTAATTAGAAATGGCATCTGAGCTGGACCAAATTAATATGGAGGACTTTGTAGCACAGATGAAAAATTGAAGCTGAAAATTTTGCCCTAAGAAGCTTACAGGAAGGCACAAGCTGAACAACTAGAGTTCTCCAAATACAGATCCTTTCACTGAAAGAAGCGCAAAATTCAGGAGAGAATTTCACAAATGCTTGGCAAAAGTAAATAAACGAAAGTAACAGATTTTTTGGAGATAGCAGAGTGCAGAGGTCAAGATGCTGCAGAAGATAGCTCAGAAGATGAGGATACTTTACCAGAAAGAAAACGCTTTTGTTTAATGGTGCTCAACAGTGATAAAGAAGAAGAAAAAATTAGTGTGCATATATGATACGTTTTGATCTGTTGTTCTGTGAATAGATATAAGTAAAATAATAATAAAACAAACGTAGTTTACAGGGTTCGTTGAGAAACTCTAACTTGCTTTTACTGCAGTACAATTTTTCATCACAATTGTGGAAAATTAATATAAATAATTACAGTTATTGTCAACTTATACGTTCTCTTACTTCCACTTGTATTATAGAATACACTTAAAAGGATGGAAAAATCCTAAAGGATTGTAATCCTTTTAAAAAGATTAATCCTATTAAAAAAACAAGATCATTTACTCGATCTTTTTCTAATCGTTCGCTCAATTTCTTCTCCTCTCTCCTGCGCCGCTTAAGAATCCCAATAATCTCATCTGTTACACTCGAAAGGTTCACGCGATACCAAACACGAAAATTCCCTCTAAATCTCGTTACCCCGAGATTATCGCAAAGTGTTACATTGTCCATCTTCGTTTCGACGTTTATTCCTATACACCGTCGTGTTCGGTTTCGCAATACGAAAAATACTCGACGCCGGGACTTACGGTTCTTGGATAGAACGGAAGTTCTGTGGCGTTCCCCGCGGAGGAACGGCGCGTAACTCGTACCGAAAGGTAATCGATCGGCGGGGATATGGGTTCTCGCGATTCGCAAGGGCTCGCTACGAGGAAACGCGTGCTGGCTTCCTTCCTTGGAAATTTCACGCGTTGCGTTGGGTAGAGATGCACGCGGTGCGTGAACGCGTTCTCTCAAGCACACACAGCTCTGGCTCAGCCAGGACTTGCATTCCGATGCAAATGGCCCTCTCCTCACTTTTTCTCCCTCCCTCCCTCTCTCTATCTGCGTTTGCTTCTTGCCTCTTCTTTCTCCTTCCCTTTCGCGAGAATCTCCATTCTCTGTCGAACAATGAATAATTCGTGGTTAATCGCGTCTCATCATAGGCTACCGTACTGTTGCATACGAAACTCCTCAATTGTTGCATCGTGTGTCTTGCGATCGTCTGATTATATCTGGTTATAGGTAAGACGTTAGTTTAGTGGAGAATTTCAATTGCAATCTCGTTTTTTTGTTCTGTTAGTAATTCTTACGTAATGTGTACTCCCGTTATTGTTGATGTTGCTGTCGTAGTTATTTCGCTGTTCGCATCGATTGCCCAGCTTTTGTGAATTTTTTACTCCCAAGGTCACGCGAAGGTCATGGTATTATAGGTCGTCGGATTCATCCTGACCTCGGTTATCTTGTCGCGACGATGGAAGTATGTAGACTCGTTTGAAAAAACTCTTATACGAAGTCTGGAGAAAATTGTTTTTCTGTTATTGAAAATAAGCGGGATATTTGAAATTGTGTATATATGTATGTGAGTTTAAGTTAACTTTCATTGAAGTCAAACTTCGATATTGCAGTAATATAGATTGTGAATTTTATAAGATCAGTATTGTTAACGTGCGTTATCGATACTACGAAAATTAATTATACAAGGGTTACAGAAATTGAGAATGAGAAAACTGAAGATATATTAACGGAAATGGAAAATACTGCAGAAAAAATAGCGAAAATTAAACTGTTCGTATCTGTTGCTCTTGCAATTTTAATAATCTTTCACAATTTTAACGCTCAAAATTTGTATCATTATCCGAGATCTAATACTTGTATACAACAAACTAATTGGCACAATGTTTAGAAGTACTTGTTTAAAGATACAATGTTTTAAAGTTCCGCAAACTGGGGTGAACAGAAATTATACTAAAAATATCTTGCACCAATTAAAAAACAAACGTTCTTACCAGCTCTTGCTCTGTTTACTGCGTTTCAATGCCTCTTTTCAACCACTTGCCGCAATTACAATAGAAACAACTTGCAAAACGGAGCCTCCACAGGTTAAGTTTCAAAAGTAGCAGCTGATAAAATCGTTTCATTGTTATCCACGAGCATGTAGTTATGAATGGAGTATTAACGT